TTCTATCTGACAAAAATCTAAAAATTTTCAGGAAGTGATCTACGTGCGTGTTCCAATTTTTTCCAAAATAACTTGATAAGTTACCGCAAATATTGAAACAGCATATGATCGACAATGAATATGGGCTGATAACTGAAATCGCTAAACTTTACATACAATGCTCAATCAACAACACGCTGATTTCGTGTTCTTGCTCTCCTGTAAAATTGACTAAACGTTGGTTAGGACACTTCGTGAGAAAGCCGACGATATATAATCTCTTATTAGTTTTTCAATAACTCCGGAACGAAATTACCCAAGTTCAATATATTTAGGAGTTATGTATGAAAAGTAATACCGCATACACTCAAGCCTCTTATCATGTTCTATATTAGCTATAGTTTCCATAAGCTTCTATTCCCTATATCGTCTGATATCCCATTACTCTGTCGTCACTATTAATCCTAGTATTGCTGACATAAGTTTCGGACAGACTGTAATGACGTGTTATGAGTTATGACTCGACCTCTCCAGACATCGCACCTTCCTCTCCTGAATTCTCCCACCCCCACACGGACGACAATTCGGTGCGTAAACAGACCCCGCAAAACCACCCCAGAATGTGATCATTATGGCCATGCTGCTCGAGCATTCTGTTCGAATGCCGCTCATCTATATTCCAAGATTAATCGAGGGGTGCCGTGCCGTATTGTCTGCATTACAAACAAAACTGTATTATACCGACTGACCTCTGCGGTGGCTCATTCAGCTTGTTACTGATGGTTGTTAATTTGATTTATCAATTAACAGCGCTGTTATCTCTGAATTGATTCAAAATAGAATGGATATTTTCTAGAACGTCGGAGTCCTGTACTGGAACTAGTTCGAGATACGTAATAGTTACTTTCCTAACAAGTGCGGAAGTGATACTTCTCCGACTTGCGTTTGCAGTTGGTCGAACGACGCGGAGCGGAGTTTCGCCAGCAGTCGAGTACGGAAAAGACACCTTTTGCAAGAGATGTTTGAAATAACAAAGCTATGTGTGCTAAGGCGTTAACACTTTCAATTGATTCAAACATAAGTTGTTCACTTCGTCCATAATCAGCAACATTCGGAGCTATCTAGGTATTCTATTCTATTTTTAAGGAAAGCAATCTAGGTACACCAGCGAAACGTCGGCAGCATCCTGAAGTCACACTCGCCGCAAAATAAAGTTGAATCGATAAGTTCGCTGTTGCTATAGGAATGTGTCATCTTCGGTTTACCACAAGGTGCACGGAAACTGGGTTTGGTCCTGATGCATGTGGCATCGTTTCACCTACCAGATGCAAAGGAGGGATTGATATCAGAGTTATTACGAAACTAATAGCTCGGTTGTCTTAAAACTTGAGTCACTACATATTCATATTTACTTTTAAATATACGCTGAGTGAAGGAATGTCCCAGCTTCAAGAACTCGCTGTACATCTCTTTGTTCATTCGTGATAATTAGCTATGATGAGGTTATAAATACTCGTATTAACGATTATGGTCAGGATATATCGACGCATCAAAGGCGCATCTCCTTTGTTCATGTTATGTCAAGTGGCTTAAGAGTCACAAGAGAGAGAGAGAGAGGCTGACATAACATGGTACATTGAGTAGCGTGCCCTAATGCTGAAAAGATGGTTACCAATTCCGCGTCTGTTTATGGTTGGCATTTCCTACAACTTGAGTTATTCGCGTATCTTTCGGTCTGAAACATCAGAAAGGAGGATAGAATTCACACGACCTACCGGCCTAAATAAGTTTTAATTCCGTGTGATTCCGAAATTGTGTTTATTACGTAGAGAAGTACCAAAAATAAAATAAACCGGCATTTTAGGGGTGCCCTAGAGTTCTCAGTCATAATGCATCGTAATGCTGAAAAGCGGATACGAGTCTATTTATTGTTGGTATTTCCTACAACTTGAATTATCTGCCTATTTTTCGGTCTATACCAAGTGCGATCCGAAAAATCATTTGCCATAGGGCAAATGACCAACATTAATAATAATTGTCTATCAAATGCCCGGACAATAAGCGAAAATGCTTCCCTCTCGAATTCGTAACCGTTTTCATCACGCTAAAACGCACGAGGCTAAAACAAGCGGCAACGATCAATTTTGACAGCATGCATTTTTAAGAGCCAATTCAGCAAGTGGATAATCTGTCTCCGGAAATATATCACTGGCTGTGACAGCTAAGATGGGTCCCTAGGGAGGGCGCGGGAAGTCCACAACTGCTACGTTTTGCTCATAATTCGGTTTGTGCGTTGGTGGCTGCCTCATTTTATTTGCTTTTATTTCCGAATTTGCTAGGGGATGAACGACGGTTTTGTGGTTGGTGAGAATTAAGAGGAGTGGCGAATTTGTGGGATCAGTATATGGGGCGAGGGAGATATTTACTATGATGTGTATTCGACAAAAGCATCTTCATGAATCCAGCAAGACAAGGTCTAACCTCAAATTCATGGAAAAGATTCCCGACTGTGTTTTTGTACATAAACGTGTTTGTTAGATGCCCCATAACTCAAATCATGTGGTTGCCGGGCGGTAAATCAATGAAAATTTATCTATAATTATTGCAAAACAAATACAAAAAAGTGTGATTACGATCCGGACAAGGCATTTTTCAGATTTTTTGGATAATTTTGGAAAAAGGTCCTTTAAAACATTTCTGATTAACTCTGAAGATACCATTTTCAATCCTTAAAAACTCACTTAAAAATGACGTCAAGCAGGTAGACCCTGCAATAATTTGTCTGCAGCGCCGTTATTAGTTCATAAAGGATTAAGTTCAGCGTAATTTAACCCTTTAACGCCCTTTGGGGTACTATTGTCCCACCGGGTCTTTTAAATCACAGTGGGACAGTATCTCCCCACTTATTATATGATTTGAATTGCGCGCGCCCTCACTTGTTGTCCGCAATCTGGCGTCCCCCTTGGTAGTTCCTACAAGGTGCTGTCTACAGAGTGGTGCTAAAGTGGGACGATAATATCCCAGTGTGCGTAGGAAACATCATACAAAGCAGTGAACACCTGTCAGGCTGTTATTGTTTCCGTTTGAAGTTAGATTGAGGTGCTCTAAGCTCTAATAAAGGTATGTATCTAAATAAAGTAGTATTGCTGCGTCTGTTAGCGTTTTATTTTGTGATGATTTTTGGAAATGATAGCGTATATAAGCTTTTGCTGATTGCGTCATTGCCCTTCGGCTAACCTTCTGCGAAGATGAGAAATTATTTCTTGGCTTACCCAAGGTACTTATTCTAATCGCATATAGCTACAGATTGTCTATGGGGTCTAACTTATGATAATTTGCCATTGTAATCGAATGTTGTGTGTGCACACAGATTTTATACTCCGTGAAATGTGGCATTATAACCTAACAAGTCATGGTTTTGTTTACATTTTCAGAAATGCGACTTCTACCTTCAAATTTAGCTTGTTATCGTTAATTATAATTTTCATTTATTCACTCATTTATTTTCGTTTTTCAGGATAGTAATTATGTCAAGGATACGTCTAAGCGATACTGAAATAGCCAGATTTATAGGAGAAATCACAGCTGATCAAGCTGAGGATTCGGAGCTGGATGGTGATTCTAACGCAGAAGATTTTATTCCTAGACAACCACTGAATGATAGCAGTGAACCTGGCTTGCGAGGTTCATTACGTCGGCGGTCTGTGCGGTTACGTAACGCAGCTTAACAAAATTTGGCGGATTATTCGGATGACGATTTTGAAGAAAATACTGACGATTCCGATTATTCAAACTCTCCTAAGCCTAGCCGAAAAATCCACAATACTTCGTCTGAGGAAGATTCTGGTGATGATTCTGGTGGAGGCGGGGATCCTGGTGGTGACGGAAACTCTGACGATGGTGATGACGGTAATGGTAGAGCTGAAGGTGACACTGATGGTGGAGGTGATGATAATCGCACGGCTACGAGTCACTCTCTTTTCACTTGGACAAAATCTGGCACGGATCCTAAGTTATACAGAACCTTCCACTTTTCAGAACCTGTTGCCGGGGCTAAAAATGACGAATTGCGGGCTATGCTTGGCATGCTCATATTTATGGGATTTTATATTCTACCGACCATCCGATCTTATTGGAGTAAAGACGATAACTTTCACGTGGAGAGGCTAGCTAGAGTAATTAGTCAAAAACGATTTTTGAAATTATACCGTTATCTACATCTAAATGACAACCTCGAGATGTTACCGAAAACGGACACTAATTACGAGCGCCTGTTCAAAATACGGCCCCTAATCACGCATTTTCAGAGCGCCTTTCAGAACGCAATCCACCCTTCGCGATTTCTTTCAATAGACGAAAGTATGATCGGTTTCAAAGGGCTTAGCAGTCTCAAACAATACATGCCCATGAAACCCATAAAACGAGGGTTCGAAGTCTGAGTTATGGCGTGTTCAGTTACCGGTTTCGTAATGTACTTCCAGGTACATACAGGTCGCTCTACGGAAACAACCGATCTTGGCCTCGGAGAGAGGATTGTTCTGGAATTATCTACGATGCTGCGTGGATTAGGCTACTGAGTATTTTTTTTCGAGCTTACCACTGTTGAAGCTCCTACTAAACGAGCGTCTTTTTGCGTGCGGTACCTTTAGGATAAACCGACAATTCTACCCAAAAGATGTACTGAAATCCGAAAAGCAGATGACGACTGGGGATAGCGATTTTGTTCAATCGGGGGACATAAGAATTGCAAAGTGGCGAGATCGCGGAAAAAAGTCGGTTGTCGTTGTCAGCTCTATGTACAACCCTAATAAGCGGAGGTCAATCAGTTCTTCGAACAAACAAGCGCGGTGAGACGGAATCATTGAATTGTCAGGAGTCTATCGCTGACTACGACAACTTCATGGGTGGAGTTGACAAATTCGATCAGCTTATGTCGACTTACCCGAATGCCCAGAAATCTCGTCGGTGGTGGTTGAAACTATATTATTATTTCATCGATATAGCGATAGTAAATAGTTATCATGTACAAGGACTCGGCCAAAAAACAGCGTCGCCGTTATTTGTCTCATTTCGAGTTTCGCTCTCAATTGGTCAACGAAATGATTGGAAATTTCTGCAGCAGAAAACGCATAGGCTATAGTCCCGGAGCGGTAGTAGGCAGAAAAAACATCAACCTACCGTCCAAAATGCAATTCGTTTGTCAAACGTCGGAGACCATATGCCCAAGCAGCAAGAGAAATATCGTAGATGCGCGCACTGCAGTACGAAGGCGAAAGAAAAGAGAAGCAACATAATTTGTACTGCTTGCAATGTTGCATTGTGCAAAGCATGTTTAGAATCTTTTCATTCTTCCACTGCAATTTAGTCGTGGTAATGAAGTTTCTGTTTTGTAAAGATAGACCTTTGTTTAGAAAAAATTATAATATACAATTTCGTGAAATAAAGTATTTTTTACTTATGTATTTTTAATTCTACATGCGTTCAGCGACAAATTAGTTGATGGGAAAATAATCACCCACTGCCCGCAGCCAGATGTTTGTTTCCCTACATGGGCAGTGGGATACTATTTTCCCGCCCCTAAAACAGAACTTTTCCGCTAGATATTTTTTTTTTATTTTTCTGAGTGAAAGGGTCCATTAGGGAAGCAAAACCCCGGTTTTTGGGAAGTTTTGAAGTTTTACGGTTTACTGCACGTTAAAGGGTTAAATCCTCTTAGAAAAAAACAGTTACGAGCATATAAATATCACATACCACCTCCCACCGCTACAACCTCCAACCCCCGAATTTCAATACCTACAACAGTTTTTCCGAAAATGATCAAGAGCCTCGGAAACGTCAAAAGACGAAGTTTGACAGATTTTTACTTTCAGGAGGGTATTTTGGGCTTAATTCAGTTTCTAGTATTCTTGTGGTGCAAAAACGAGACGATTTTTAAATCTTTTAATTTTTTGTCAACAAAAAACCGGTCTTTAAGGCTATGTTATATTGCCCTGTATATAGAAAGCCATGGAGTATACCTCACGTTAAAAAAAGTTCATAATATTCATAATGAAGGGCGTTTTTGTTAAAAAACCGTGTCTCGTTTTTAACCACTATTTAGGCTAAAAATGAGACAGTGAGATTTTAAAAACAAGATAATGTATTTTCTGGCATTTTAGTCATTTTACATCAGTGTGGCAAAATATGAGACCCTGGGGAATAAAAACGAGACACACTGCAAGGGTTTTAAAGCATTTAGTAAGTCAAACAACATAGTTAGGTTTTAAATTGTGACAACGTTCTTAAAGAAAACTCACATAATGAAATACAAAACTATGTTTATTAAACTAAAAAGAAAACAAATCCAAAAACAAGTTAAATAAACCATACCTAATTCAAAAAGGGGTAAAACAAGATTTTCAATAGGATTTTAAGAGCTAAAGTAGAAAACTTATTATTCTAACGTATTTTGTGCTACATATTATTGAACGACGTCGATAGGAAACCAATATTGCTGAGAGATACGACAGGTCTTACTTTCTATTTCCGGCTGGGGAAGTTTCATTTCTATGTCACTTTTGTCGATGAAGTACTTTTCCTCAATGGCCGGGCTTTCCTTCCTTAAACAGGGTAGTACGGTGGTTTTCTTGTACATAGGTTTGTACTATTCCTTGTATCTCTGGTTTAGTGAGAGCAAACCCCCATTTTGCCATAATTTTTATCTTATCACATCAGTCTACTTCCATTTCTTTGGTTAGAGAAGTTTCCTTCCCTGTTTACCAAGTGAACGAGTACGTCTTCTCGAAAGAGCAGATTTGTCAATTTTAAACTGTTTAGCTGCATTTCTAAGAGATAACGTGCCATTATCTATTAGTTTTAGTGCTGTTTCCATGTTCTTTTTGTCGTAGGGGCACTTTTTGGGAACGTAAACCTTCGGCATTATTATCAAAGGTACAAAAGCTGTCTTATTTTTTACCTGGCAGGTGTCTTATTTTTAAACTTTGTGGTGTCTCGTTTTTGCACCTGTTATTCACGACGTGCCTGCTTGCCAACAAATAAAAATAAACTAAATTCGATATGGAATATCATAGCCGCATTTGTTATTTTGAAAACGCGATACTTGCCGAGTCTCTACGATCACGTACAAGCGGCGCAACAGGAAAAGTTTGTAAATACAATTTAAAAGATTTTTTAAGCAAAATGCACAATCAGATGCGATAGTTTTTTTCTCGATGTTTGTGTTTACGTTTATTTATTATTCATTACATATTTCAATTGTATATATGTGGAAGTAATTTGTAACGTATTTTTTACAATGTTACTGTTTTTTTTGCATTGGGAAAAATCGAATTTCTCATTTTTGCACCACTTGACCCTAACCCGTTATATAGTACTATACGAATGTCCTTATAGCATACGGCAAATTCCTTAACTTTAAAAGTGTAGAATAGATCTGCAGCTGCTCTGATGCAAGCGCATGCAGATCATAAACAAAAAAAAAATTGTAAAAATTCCATGTTTTTACAGACAGTATAATGTTATTGCCTCATATCTTTTAAGTAGGTTCATTTGGGGTAATAGTTGGTTACAATTCGTAGATCTAGGAACGTCAGCAGGAAGTTGTCTGCTGGCTTAACCATTGCCATAAAAGCTACTTCTTGAGGTTATACATACAGTGTGTCCCAGATTTGCTTCTCTATATATCTCGGCTCCTGTTATACCTACAGCAAATGTTAAATGGGCAAAGTTTTAGAGGACTCTTAGTGCATTCGATAGCCGGCTTCAGATTTACGATCGGAAATATAAGCGAAAAACCGAAAATGTCGAATTTTGTTTTTTGTCAGTAAATCCGAAGCGGTTACTTTGACAGATGTCAAAATGTGACATCATTTAAACATTTTTTTAAGGCAAATAAGATAGCGTCTATGACATGTCTCAATTGTCTTTTGTTTTCCCGCAACCCGCCTAATACTCGTATTCCTTTTTGTTATAGGCACCATATTGGATTTTTCGATTTTTGAAAAGAGCGTAAAATTTCTAGCGTAGTAATGTCTCACAAGTGCATAAAAGATTGGAGTATCATCGAAATATCACACGTAATGTTATGTATTAATTTTTTTTTTCTAAGGAGGCCATGATTTATTTGTCAGAAGATAAAATTAATAAGTAACGTATTTTTTCATCTAAGGCTCTGACTTTGACGTTGAATAACTCATGGTATTAAAATTGTGTTTAATAACCAGTAGATACTTTCTTTCTGTATTTCCTACTCAAATGAAGAAAATTTTGACATGTTCGCGCTACACTTGCAGTCACACAGAAAACGCCGATACTACCTCAGCAAGGTACTTGGAGATGTACCCCGAACAATGGCAGCCTCATAAAACACAATTTAGAAAAATAGTTAATTTAATAAACCTTGGGGGCCTTCGAACAACCTGGAAGTGGATACAATATGGACTTAAGGAAACTGATTTTCCAAGGCGAATGGGCTTCTGTGAGTGGTATACTAGGAAGTCTAATATAAATCCCGATTTTGTAACTCATGTCTTGTGATCCGATGAGAGTAGGTTTACGAATTGTGGAGTTTTTAATAAGCACAGCACTCATCATTGGACTGTGGAAAACCCCCACGAAGTGGCAGGGAGACGCACACAGACCAGATTTGTAACTAAAGTTTGGTGCGAGGTCATTGTTAATTTAATCTAACTTACCCTTTTTAATTGGGCACCTATTTGAAATTAGGTATTAATCATTTCAGGAAATCGACTTATAGGACCATTTTTGTTTGACTACAACCTAAACGGACAGAGGTACCTAGAGCTTTTGCGAAACCAGGCTGTGCCGGCTTTACGAGCTAGTCTAACCGAAGATGAGTTTAGAAGAACCTGGTTTCAACAGGCCCACAGCACCATTCAAGTCAGGAACTTCGTGAGATATCAGTTTGATGAAAGAATAATTTCATTGAATGGCTCAATGTCTTGGCCTCCTAGATCCCCTGACCTTTCACCCTTGTAATTCTACCTCTGGGGTAACACAAACAATGAGGTCTATGAATTTGATCCTCCGCGACTATAGAAATCCTGAGACAAAGAATTTTGAGCACAGAAACATTAACAGAAATACAGTAGCTAAGGTTGTAAGGAAAACATCAATTGTCAAAAATGTCTGGATGCAAATTGATGTTATTTTTCAAATCTGTAAATTAATACCAACTTACATAATTAGATTTTACATGACATTACAATTTTATAAAATGTTTGTTCAAGTGTAAAATAAATTTACGACAATTTTTCTGACTTGTTTTTTAACACATTCATAGTTGGGAATTTTTCCAAAACATTTGACTTGTTGAGAAGTCGATATTAACGTTAATATTCTATTGAAAATTCAAGGCGTTTATGTGTTTTTTATGGCTTACTCATTAACGTCATTTTCTGACAAATAAATCATGGCCTTCTTAGAAAAAAAACTAATGCATACGTGAGATGATATTCGTGAGACATTGCTAGACTGGTAATTTTACACTCTTTTCAAAAATCATGAAATCCAATATGGCGGTCATAAGAAAAATTAAAGTTGATGCGATTTTTCTTAAGAAAATGTCCGAATGATGACACATTTTGATAGCTGTCAAGTTAACTGTTTTGAATTTACTGTCATAAAACAAATTATGCCACTTTCGGTTTTTCGCTGATATTTTCAAAATCAATTGACCGATCGTAAATCTGAAGCCGGCTATCGCAAGCACTGAGTCTCATCTAAAACTATCCTCACTCAATCTTTACTGTAGGTATAACAGGAGTCCATATCCCTGTATAGAGAAGCGAATCTGGAACAAACTGTATACTAAAAGATTCAAGCTCACCTCACGACTAGAATGTATCTTACTCTGATTAGGCCATCCTGATGCATTTGCCGACTCACCTGGAAATCAAAAGGAAAAAATTAACATTAATTTAGCATCTGAAACATATCCTGTCGTTTTCATGTTGATGAATCTCCTTGCCTTCTGGTCGATAAATGAAATGGCATAATTATGCAGGATCAATTTTTTACTAACATCTCGGCCACCTCAGTGATAGCTCAGATCAAAGGTAGGTACAAACCAAAGGAATAATGACTCAACTGAATTCACTTAACGATCAGGAAAGGTGGAAATTTACATAAACCAACTTTGTTTAAGTACCATATAAAGATATGCAGTAAATAACCTTCCAGCGATCACTGTTAATAGAAAATATAAACGATTTTAAAGACGAAAATGAGAATCATATCGCGATAACTCTCTCGAGACAACTAAATGTTTCGACTTATTGTTTACACCACGTGCACTGTAAGATGCTTGCAAATTAACTGAATGCGGCGACTTACTAATAAAGGACTGCCCTTTCTAATAGTGCACTGTTGCCAGTTTTAACTAGTATAGTTAATGCGCATCTCAAAATATACAGCGTGCCCCTAGTAACAGCACTAATACTGGCTTGCATAGTTTTAACAAGATTTTCACAGTGTTCCACCTTAAAAGAATCCTATACATTTTGTAATTTTACTCGTAAATCAGAAGTGTTTCGTTGTGGATCATTTCTTAACTGCTGCTTCATTTTCTGCCATACAGTTTCGATAATATTCAAATCAGGACTACTGGAAGGTTGGTAAAGGACTGAAATATCATTATCCTGCAACCATTTTTTCATGGTTTTGGAGGTATGACATCTTCTTAAAAAATAAAGGTTCTATGATGTGATAAAATTGGATTTGAAACTAACTAACTGGTTTCAAACATATTTTGATATTTAGCTGCGTTTTCAGTTCCGTTTATGAAGTGAAGTTTTCCAACCCCACCATACCATTAAACCTATTAGAAACTTTACTTTTATCTTCAGGCACACAAACATGAAATTTCGATTAATCGCTAAAAATAATCTTTTTTCAGTCTTCGTAAGTCCACATTGCCCGTTCCTTAGACAACACTAATTACCTTTTCTTTTGTTTTTCCGTAAACACCAGTTTTTTTTTTTGCCTAAAGCAAAGATTTTACTGAATAAATATGCCATATGTCCCTTGAATGGAACCTATGTAACTTATAAAAATGTAAACCATTCCATTTTGCTGTTATGTCCCTTTCAGTACCTTGACGACCAGCTTTATAAATACGAACAAGAGATCTTTGCATTCTAGGACTGATCTTACGTAGCCTACTAACACCGTGTCTTAAATCTTGAGTTGAATACGTGTCTGCATACTTTTTTACAATGTCTGCCACCGTAGACTTTGCGACATTTATTTGTTTAGCAATATCCCGAAAATACTTTCATTGATGAAACAATTGTATGAATAAGACTCTGATTACACCGTTTGTTGCTTGACCTCGCGACATAGGTGGTAGGTCGTAGGTGGTACACGGTCTCTGACTGTCGAACGCGGAGGTACCACCCGGCGGATCTCGCAGGGCCAGAATGTGTGCATGTTGCATGGGTGTTTAGGCCTTATGCCTTCGTGGAAGTTGGAGTATAAAAAAAGACATTTTAAAGCTAATTGGTTCACATAATTGAACGCCCCTCGACCATGCCCATGCCAATGATTTAACTGTCAAATGAGAAAGATGCATTTTTAGAATACTATTGAAATAACCCTTGTATATGTACACAACTCATCCTTTGACGCTTCCACCTCGACCCGGAGGCAGAACGGCATGGCAGCCAAACATCGTAATGCAATATCGCCAATCGTCACTCAGCGTCTACCTCGGCCCCCTGACGCCACCCGTACCAGATGAGCTGATAAATCTCATCGAGCCACGATTTGGCACTACGACGACGCCCCCCGTGATCAATACTCTCTATACGCTGCAATGATTTGATTTTATGAATGATCGTATGTCGCGGGATGGGGTGCTTCACTATGGTTTTCCGCTGTGTGAGGTAAAGAGCTCCATAC